ATCCAATATATCTTGGACTCAACTTCCCTCACTTGCCAAATCTCAACATCCCTTTCTAAGGCGACAAGTTTAAAAACTTGATGAGCTTGCGAAAGGATGAATGAGACCACAAGAAGGTTCGGAACCCTACCCATAGCCAGGCCTATAGAGTATAGCCAAGTGGTAAGGCATTGGAAAACTTTATCTCCTACTGCAAATTCAAGATCTTTCCTGTGCCTATTAGCATAACTTTTCTATCTATCATGAGTTGTCTTCATCTTTTCTTTGATCAATTTCACATTTTCGGATGTCATTTGAACCAATTTAGGGCCTACTAACTTCTTCTTACCAGCTTTATCTCAACAAACTGGTGTTCTGCACTTTCGACCATATAAAGTATCAAAATGAGTTATTTCTATACTGGAGTGGCTGCTGTTATTGTAAGCAAGCTCCATTAATGACAGATGAGTATTCCAGCTACCTTTGAGCTCTAAATTATAAGCCCTCAACATATCCTCAAGAGTCTGTATGGTCATCTCTGACTGGCCATCTGTCTGAGGATGAAAAGCTATACTAAAATGTGGTTTAGTACCCATAGCTTCCTGCAACTAGGCTAAAATTTAGATGTAAAATAAGGGTCTCTATCAGGCACAATAGATAATGGAGTACCATATGAGCTCACTATCTCATTCACATACAACTTTGCCAACTTATTTAAAGTATAGGTGGCTTTGACTGACAAGAACCTGGCAGTAAACGATCTACAATAACCCAAACTTCATCATGAACATTCTGAGTACGAGAAAGACCAAATAAAAAGTCCATAATAATGTGCTCCCATTCCATTCTAGAATAGGCAATGGCTGTAAAAGTCCTGTTGTTTTCTGATGAATTGGGTTTACCTGTCGACATATGACACATTTGGATACAAAACCTGCTATCTCTCTCTTCATGTCATTCCACCAGTAATGATCTTTCAATGTGATACATTTTGATATTACCTGGATGCATAGCATAAGCAAACATGTGTGCCTCTTCTAAAATTTCCTTCTTCAATTTTGGAATATCTTGAACACGTAATCTATTGCACATAGACAACTCANTTAGAGAACAAGCATTTCTACGAAAAATAGATAACATACCCAATACCACATCTGGTGACTCCTCTGCCTCCTGCTGGGTCATAGCAAACACTTTGTACTGAGTCTTGGATCGACCTGCCTAGGGTCCCTATCCCTAGCAGCATTAGATTGTGTGGTTCCCAACGGCCCTGTCGATTTCTTTGATCCCTGTTCTTTCTGGCCGTACCGATCCTTGACTGAGAAGATACTATATGAGATGCTCCAATCTGTTGAGATTGGGCTGGACAATCTTTCCTTATGTGTCCCATTGACCACACTGGTAACAAACTCCAATTCCTTGAAGACGAGTGCTTGGATGAAACTTCCCACAAGATTGGCACTATGGAAAGCTTCGGTGATCAGAACTCTCTTTCTACCTCGCCCTTTGAACTTATCTGGAAGCACTATCCCTAGCAACATTAGATTGCGTGGCCCCTATTGACCCTGTTGATTTCTTTGATCCCTGTTCTTTCTGGCCGTACCGATCCCTGACTGAGAAGATACTATATGAGATGCTCCAATCTGCTGAGATTGGGTTGAACAATCTTTCCTTATGTATCCCATTGACCACACTCGTAACAAACTCCAATTCCTTGAAGACGAGTGCCTAGATGAAACTTCCCACAAGATTGGCAATGTGGAAAGCTCCGGTGATCAAAACCCTCATTCTACCTCGCCCTTTGAATTATCTTTGTAGAACCCTAAACTGGCTCCCCACCGACTGTTGTACAGAACTCCCAAACTTAGATTTAAAACTTCCAGATTTAGTGACATCTGGCCAAAATCCTTTTCTGTTCTACTTGAACCTTTCTCCTGAAGTTCTTGTTTAACTGCTACCACCTCGAAAGGTCTTCTGTTCTCCTTGATTACTTCCTTCTTGAATAGCTATCTCAACCTTCAATGTCGTCTCAACTAACATACTGAAATTTTGATGCCCATGAGCAGTAATCATAGGCTGGATCTCTACTCTCAATCCTTGCTCAGGTTCATCTACACCTATCTCTCTCCTCAGCAACCAAAGCACTTGCATACTTGGACAGTTCTACAAACTTTACATGATATTCAACAACTGACATTGACCCTTGAACCGATCTTAAAAACTCATTTTGTTTCTCATTACGATAAAATGGAGTATGTATGTTTCATAGAAAATTTCCTTGAAAATGGTGTAGGTTATCACACTAGGATCTGGATATCAACTTCAAAAAGAAACCCACCAATCACCAGGTTCCCTTCAATAAAAATATTGCGAGGCATAATTTCTTATCCTCTGAGCATTCTATCACATCAAAGATACTTTCCAAAGTCTTCATCCAGAGTTCAACATCAATAGTTCCACCAGTACCACCACAACTAAAACAAAATACAATTAAACTCGACTGAGTACTACTACAAAATATCATGTTTACATGCAATCATTATATTAATTTATCCTTCTACGAAGTGCACATCAAACAAAATATTAGACAAAGTGTTTAATAAATATGAGTCCCCAACTATACATTACATACTATGATATAATTAAGATTATGCACTAAATGATGGGTAACCAGGCTCTTGACTTCAACGGGCTTTCCCAGGTATCTCAAATTCAGCGATCTCCTGATAGGAAAAAACATGACAAAATATACGACCTTGTAACTCAGTGAATGGATAGTTTGCAAATAGGTATACTTTTCATGTTTATGCATATTTCCTAAAAATTTTTGCACTACTAAAACTTCTAGAAATTTTGAAATCTTGTAACACTTTTAAAACCAAACATAAAAGCATCATAAAATTCTTTGTTTTTCATTCTAGATAAGCAACTATAAGGTATAATGAATATAATTAATCTGAATACAGTAAATATAAGTAAAAATATCATTCACAATACTATAACCTGGAAATATTACTCTAAAAACTGAATAAGCTAAATTCTGTAGTATGAAATCTGATAAGCTATATAATACTGAAAATCGGTACAAAGGTACCCCAATATAGCCTTACTCGTGTAGTAAACTCGATGTAACAAAGGTCATTCAAATCTAATAATCTAGTCATACGTACGCAGAGTTGCTGAAAGGCTAATCACCATAGTACACGGCCAAAGCCTATGTGTGTACAAGAGTGGGTCCCAAAGACCTCTGATAATCTGGCCATATACTATTAGAAACACATTCACAATAGTGCAGTACATTCACAATAGTGCAGAGTTAAAATAACCATAATTAGTCATACACTGTGGAAACACATTCACACCAGTGCATACTAGAGTAAAATCACCTGGGTACTTCTGGTGTTTTAAAAACAACCTTAAATATGCTGAAATATTTATATTCATATAACATGCTAATCAAATGATTTAATTGAGCTGAATTTAACTTTTAAAAATAACTTATTATAAATCCACTTTACTCTAAAAACATGCTGTATGAAATAATAAATTTTCTAATCTAACATAAATTTGATAAATAATTAATTTATGAAAAATGAGTTATACATCCACTCACAAAACTATAGGCTAGACTGTCTGATAAACATTTTCAATCTCCTCGTCACTACTTGAAATACATTACAAAATAACTAATTTAACCACTGCCAAAACAAGAAACTATTTACTATCCCTTTGATCAATTGGAGCTAGTTCTACTTTCTATTAACCTTCACAAATATACTACATCCAAATTTACCTTCATCCAACTTATAAAAATAATTATACTTTCCAATCTAATGAAAACTAGTAACCATAATTCCACCCATTTAAACTTTCATCTTTTTTCTCAAATTTATGCTTTCATGTGAGTATTCCATCAATATAATCATTCTTACTAACAACACTTAATAAAAAATCCCAAATAGAAATCTAGGGTTTGCCAAAAATTATATTACCTACCTTGATTAAACTAAAAGTTTAAATCTTCCATCAAGCAATTTAAACAAGGATTCATACTCATTTCACTAAATCTGCAAATTAAACCCTCAAATTTAACCGACTAATTAAACCCTAGAAATTTAATATCATAATACCATAAAACATTTACTTCTTAATCTCATGAAGAAATGAGGTAAATGGACCCAAACAAGAAGAAATCAACACTTACTTCCCCCTTCTTCATTTCTTTCTTCTTCTTCTCTTTTTTCTTTCTTCTTTTGTCTTTTTCCTTTCTCTTTCTTGGCCTTTCTTCTTCTCTGCCTGGTTTTTATAGTGTGTGTGTGTGTGTGTGTGTGTTAAGAGAAAAAAATGGGTCAAAGGTTATTATAAAGGCCCACTTAATAAAAATTGCATGCAATTTAACCATCATATATTGTCAATTATAAAATAAATTCCAGTAAAATATTTAATTTTATTTTAGTCTTTAATTGACTTTGACCTTGACTAGTCAATTTTTTATTTTTGACTAAGAAAAATTGAATTGTAACAGTAAAGGTTGGGACAAATCTGGTGGTAAGCTGTGTTACAATTATGGTAAGGCTCACTTTAAGGACTATCACAAGAAGAATGATAAGCATAAGAGCTTATCGATCGGGTGGAGTGTGACATAGGCATTTATATCGCTTCTATTAGGTGGAAACCATTATCACTTTGGTTGGGGAGAGTGATGTGGTGGTAGATGATTATCCCAATAACTGTGACAATGTGCTTCTACAAGGGGTGTTCTTGACCTTAGCCCTTATGAAACATTTATCGTATGTGTTTCGGGTTTGAAACACGATGTATGGTCTGTGATCCCAATTTTATTGGTTACCTTGATTACTTTGACACCCAATAAGTTTCGTATTATATTTCATATGCCTCAACCAATGAATGAAATAATTATCAATAAGATCTAAGGACTTATCTCGGCCCATTTATTTGCTTACCATAATCCTCTTTTAGTGTGTGATTTTTGAGTATGAAAGTGGGAAAAANGGTAAGTGGTGTTATGGTTGCGATAAGGCTCTATCTCTCAAGGAGAAGGACCAGAAAAGCTTCTTATCAACAAACCTGATCGGGTAGAGTGCGATAGAGGCATTTTTATCACTTCTGTTAGTGGAGATGATCCACTTTGGTTGGGACGAATGATGTAGTGATAAAGGATTATTCTGAAAACTTACCAGTTAAAAATAAATGATCAATCTAGTGAACATGGTGAGTGATGAGAGGAGATACATGTTCTCAAAGTGTGAGCAATATGAAATGGGGTAGGATAAGTGTGGTGAGATTTTTTCGTAGGGTCATTTATGCATTTGTTGCATAAGTGTTGGCCCTTTGATTGATTGATTAACGTCTGTTGTTCAGCGCGAGCATATTTGAAAAGATTTGTGTGTTGATACTACATTATTTATTATACTATCATCGTGTGTTTATTTGTTTCTGATTGACTACTTGAATATGTGCTTCTACCTGGGTGTTTGATACCCAAAAAAATTCAGGCTAGAATGTTAACGTGGAAATGTATATTTCATATGCTAGGCCGATGAATGAAATAAATACCAACAACCAAGCCTATCATAGGTTCTATTCGGTTCAATTGTATTTCCTCTTGGATGATTTGATCCAATTGTATTCCCTCTAGTGTGATTTGTGTTTGTTTGTAAAGAAAAGAATTTGGCTAAGGGTTCTACCAGCCTCCTTTATGGTGCCAAAACCGATAGATTCCTTGGTGGGTTTTGGTCTCTTCCTTGCGCACTTGTGTGGTTTTTTCATCGCCTTTGTGCTTAGAAATCATCACTGTCAAGTCCTTTGTGGGTGTGATTGAAAAGCAATCGAGGTTAATATATTGGTTGTGGATCGGAGCCAATTGGTTTGGTTGTTTGGTAGAGAATGTAAGCTTCTACAACAATTGGTATCAGAGCTTCAAGGTGGTTTAGGTTTGTGAAACTTACCAGAAAACGTCCAAGATATTAGCAAAAATGAAGCAGAAATCAGATCGAAAAAATGTCCAAAAACTGCTTAAAATTAGCCTCCGTTTTCGTGATTTTCGACCAATCCAAAAAGAGTTTGATGAAACGGAGACATTGGTGTGACATGCAGGCGGTCCCGTCAGTGAGGCACATATCAACGGCGACAATGCGTGCAACATTTTTCAGGCAACAGTGTTCAAGCAGTTTGTAGGAACGTTATTTTTGACATTTTGGTGCTAACACATTTCCTGTTTCAGATAGTACAATGAAATCTAGACAGAGTCGTTCTTCGCACGTTCAGGACTCGATCATATTTCTTTGGTCGATGCAGTTGCTAGAGACTTTAGGACGAATAATGGTGGTACTAAAGTTATATAAATCCGTATATCTCATAATAGATGACCTTTGGTGTATTTATTGGTTTATCCTAGTTTAAAATTCAATATTAGGATTGATGTTACGAAGGTAAAACAAAAAATTCAAATTCTCACGCAATTCCCTTGATTAGAACATCTAGCCTTGACCCGTTTGAATATTCCCTTGATTTAAAGATTGTGAATCTTACGAAACACTGGGAATCTAGAATGGTGTATTAGCCTTAAGATTACTTTGTGTGACCTATCTGTGCATTTGATTGTTTTATTTCTTCAAAATGTCTTTGCATTTCAAAGTTGGAAATGGGATTTTTCAATTATTTTACACTATTTTGAGAAAAATTGAAAAACTACAAAAGAACTTTGGCAAAAGTTGGAGGACTTATATTTGCTTAAATCTATCCTAACAAATTGTACTTGTTTGAATTTTTTTTAGTTTTAAAATGGATCTTTCAAAGGATCTAAACTTGTTCAAGATTCTCGATGACAATCTGAATGTTTAAGAGTAAGGAGATGGAGATCAAGGCTGAAAATGAAGATAAAATGAGTGGTGAGTTACATATGATGAGGAGTAGGATGAAGTTTAAGCAAATGAATTTGGATAGAATTCAAGTCTAGTGGTAGACAGTGTTATAGCTGTTTAAGTTTGGACACTTTATTAGGGACGCAAGAAGAAGGATAAGCAGAAAGGTACTCCATATGCATCTGTGTGTAACCCTTTTTTGCATGTGTGATTTCCTAATTTTGGGTACCCTAGTCAAGTCTACATATGCATCTGTGTGTAACCCTCTTCTGTATGTTCGCATAATTTTGTTGCATGATTATATGCCATGTTTGTTATGTGCGCTTGCATGAATTTGAGGTGAATTAGAGGAAATATGCTTATTGTAATTGTTTGCATGCATTGTGGGTTAGGAATATCATGCATATTGTAGTTCGTACCGGCATGTAGAGTGTGAAATTTGGATCATGAGTGGAGAGGTAATTAAATGTCTAGAATCTTTTATCTGTAAAGAGACCCTGATCGGGCGGAGTGTGAGAGAGGCACATCTATCACTTCTATTAGTTGGAGACCCACTATCCACATAGGTTGGGAGAAATGATAACTTAAGTGTGGTGAGATCTTTTTGTAGGGTTATTTATGCATTTGTTGTATGTGTTTGACGAGTGTTTGATTTTGGTGCTCATCTGTGGTCTGTGAGAACGTGTTTTTTGAAAAGATTTGTATGTTATCCTATATGTGTTCTCTTGATTGATTACTGTGAATATTTGTTTTTACTTGGTGTTTTGATATCCAATAAATCCTAGGCTATGATGGTAAGGTGGGAATGTATGAATGAAATAAATATCAACAACCAAATTCATAGGCGGTATATTCCCTCTTGGATGGTTTGAAACTTCTGTTTATCTTTCTTATTAGTCCAACTAAAAGCCAAATCTAGTCTTATAAGTACCCTCCGTTTTCCAGTGTGATTTGTGTGTAAAGAGAAAATTTTGAATGCGCTTTTTAAAGAGAGAAATCAGCCTCTTTTGTGGTGCCAAAACCGATGGATTCCTTGGTGAATTTTGATCCTTAGAGCGAGCTTTCACGATAGCCTTGGTGGGCATATGAATATATAAGAGGTCTGTGGATTTAGTTTGAAAACATACCAAAAATCATCTAGAAAATCGGCTGAAACGAAGCATCGGATTGTAAACCTGTCCAGAAAATTGCCCAAAACTGTTTGTCCAATTCAGGCAGTTTCTAGCATTTGGTGTTTGTGCAATTTGGACAAACTTGTTGAAAACTTTAGGAGGAATAATATTGTTAGTTTTATGTTTGTTATACAGTGGAATTATTTGTTCTTCGCATGGTTGTTACAGTTGCTGAAGACTTTAGGACGAATAGTGGTCCTAAAGTTTAGGACTCTATTTGAAGTATTGGATTTAATTGCAAGTATTCTTTGTTGAGATTTTTTTTTTTTTTTGTTAATTGTTGCATTGATTATTTCGTTAGAACACCTAAAGTTGACTAACGAAAACCTAAAGTTGACTGTGGCCTGGATTGCATAGCCTATTTGTGCACTTTGGTAGTTCTGTTTTTCTCAAAATGACGATTTTTCAATTTGGCAACAAAAAGATGAAGGAAATTTTGGTTCAACAAAATGAGATTGTAAGAGAATTTTGGTTCAACAAAAAGAAGATAAGAAAAACAAAAAGATGAAGGGAATTTTGGTTCAATAAAACGAGATTGCCATAGTAAGGGAATCTATGACAATAAGATAAGAGGAGTGGTGAGTCTTTAAGCAAATGAATTTGGGTAGAACTTAAGACAGTAGTGAATCACTTAGTAGTGTGTTTGAGTATCTATGAAAAGACCTTGATCAGGTGAGGAGAATGAAAATGGCATTTTTATCACTTCTATTAGGTTGAGAGGATGTGGTAATTAGGGATTATCCCAAGTACTTAGAATCTACTGTGATTGGCCAGTTAGACAGAGTTGAGTGATCAATCTAGTGAACATGGTGGACAATGGATGTAAATATTTGGAAAGTGTGCCTTAAGAGAAGAAATATGCCTACCTCCATTACTCAAATTGTTTTTTTTTTCCCTCCATGTTTTTTTTTCCATGCCTTCTTTGAGAGTGAAAGAGATGCTCGACTAAACCACATTTGTGCATAATTCCCTCTAAGGTTCTAGTCGAGTCTAAGTTCGATCGACCATAACTATATTAAGATTTGGGTCAAGAGAAGACAAGGCGAGTCAAGCCCAAATCTCGATCTCGCCAGAGAATATTTTATTTTGTTGAGTCAAGCAAAAGTGATTCTTGATTTAGTTCAAACAACTACGTCAACCTAATTCAAGTCTCGATGACATTCAAGTATAAGCCAAGTAAGTCTCCATCATGTTCAAGTAACAATTGTCATAAGTAGTCAAGTGTCATGGACTGACCTTGTTTGAGCATAATTCTTCCTAAGATTTAATCGAGCACAAGCAAGTTGTGAATGCCAAATATGAATAATCCCTCCCAGAGGGCCATGTCTAACCAAGGTGTCTCGACCTTGTTCGAGCATATTAATCAATTTAAGGTTGGAATCTAGTCCAAGTGCCTATTTGGTGGGTAAAATTTATCCTTTGGGATAAGTTGAATTAAAATATCAAGATCATTTAATTAGGATATTAGGAATCCTAGCCAAATTTACGAGGCACGCTTAACCATTTATTTTATCATGCATATTTACCAATAACGATTGCAAAATGAATTGCTTATGAAACTAAGTGAATTAGAGAAAACTAAAATAAAAACAAACTAAAATGATCTTATCAAAGACAAACCTGGAGATAGGTGCGAAGACTCTTCAAGTTCGACGACGTTTTTGTGTGGTTGCTACTTTTCTGTAGAAATCTAATTGAGTTCTTCTTGAACAGGAATGTGGATTAGCCTTCCAGAGACATTCGAATGTTTAATATCTCTTTAACAGATTGATTACAGATTATTTGCTTCAGAAATAGAAATATGAAAAGTTGACATCTTATTAGGCGAAGCTGCTATAAATTGCAGAATGTGTAGAGATAAATGAATTCAACCGATGCAATACATACCCACCACAAAAAAAGAGGAATGAAGAAACAATTACCTGGATAAGCATCGGACGTTTGTCAGAAAGTAATATTACGTTTAGATCATAGAGCAAAAGTGAAATCAATGAACAATAAAATCAATGAACTCTGAATAGATCTATTCACTTGTTGACAAAGAAGATCGAGGGAACTAGTAGGATACCGACCCGAAAAACCATAAAAACTAAGATAATCATGGCAAGATGGAGTATCGATATAGGGTAGTACCGCTTGTAATTTAAACCTGTCCAGAAATATGAAGATTCGGGTGCTGCTGTGTGAGAATTCGGGTGCTACTGTGCGAGCGATGCGGAAATATCAGAAACTAAACTAGGAAAAAACCCTTAGTGCGCCACTGACACTTGAAGCTAAATCATCAGTTAGACCAACAAACAAAACCCAAAAAAGATCCTATTAGATTCATCCCAACAAAGAACGTAAAATCATAAACATGAAATTATAGACCCAGAAAAAAAAGTTACATAACCAAAAGGAACTCCAATATATCTAACGGTCGAAGTTCACTCAATCAAAGCCCAACCAAAATCACAAACCAACATCTAAATTACAGAGAGAATTAATATCAAATTTATAGAAACAAAGAGAACATCCTCACTCTAAGAACATAATTTTCTAAAATGGTTATACATAAAATGAAAAAGGAACCACAAACCAAACTAAAGGCACAAAGTACATTAAAAATCAACCCAGAATAAGACAAATCCAGTGAAGCTCAAGATTAACCATCCAGAGAACAAGACAGACTCTTCAATATTCATCCAAATGTACCAAAAAGAATGTAATCGTGAATACAGAAGGAATTAACATGAAAAGAACATTATCTCACTAAGAAACATAATTGTTGAACCTTACATAAAATAAAATGGAAACCCCTTCTTATCAATTATCCTTATTCAATCCAAACAGAAAAAGCACAAATTCTATTAAAGATTCAATGAAATCCACAGAGAATTCAGATAAATAAATCTTGCAAATCAAAATTGAACCCAGGATTTTATCCTTCGAGATTCAAGCCAATGCACCAAAACAGAATGTATGTGTAAAGATAGAAAAATTAAAGAAAACATAGAACGAGATACACTCAAAATACAATCGCTGAAGTAACCAATTTCCTTAGTAACCATACATAAGATGAAAAGGGAACCCAAAACTTTTCAATAATCAAACCAAACACAAATTCCATTAATGAATACTAGCCATATAAAATTCACAGAACAATTGTAAATACAGTAAAGGAAAAATCCTTCAAGACCCATTCAAATGCACCATAGAACGCAATTGCCAAGACAAAGGAATTACACACAACAACAGAGAACATTATCACCTAAGGTACACAATTGCTGAAATAGCCATAAATTGAATAAAAAGGAAACACCAAACACAACCATTAAAAATCATGTGAAAACCCAAAGAAATTTCACAGAAAAAATTACAGTGTGACCCTAAAATGATCATCAATTCAACCCAGAAAATATCTTACAAGTTAGAAGATTCAACAAAATGAACCAACAAAGAACATTATTTTAAAAAAATAAAGAAATTATAGAAACGAGAGATAACAAATCTGCTTAATCCAAAGGGTTAGAGATTCAATGAAAACCCTCAGAGAATTCAACCAAAAAAAAAAATCCACTGAACCCAGTTTTATCATCATATAACTAAAGAAATTATCATGAAAATATGACTAACCTGCTTTTTTGTCAAGAATCTTATTATTAACTTATTTCTCGATTCTCTGAAATAGAACTCGAATTCATCTTCAAAAGTCCTTGTCTAGTTCTTCTTGATAGAAAAACCATGAGGCAATTGTTAAAATTGCAAAAAGAGCCGTATATGAAATGAAAACCCCCAGAAAATTCTCCAAAAAAATCCAGTGAAACCCAAAATAATCATCAGTTCGACCAAATAACAAAACCATGAATTGAAACTATCCATCAAGATTCATTCTATATTTGAATAAAGAACATGATAATCATATAGTTGAAGAAATTATAGAAATTATCGTAAAAAAATGACTCCCTGGTTTTCTGTTAATTTTCTAACTCTTGCATCCGTCTTCAAAAAAACTTGCCTAGTTCTTCTTGAAAAACGCCATAACTCATCGATCTCTTTGAAGAACAAGGGGTTATAAATAGGTCCTGCACAACGGTCATATTTTCAATTTCATCAATGTCACATTCCTCCGTTGGATTAAGCATAAATAAACGGTTAAGACTTTAGGAGCATGTCAGTTGTGAATTAAGTCCACTGCAAAATTTTAATGTTGGGTTAAGTTCTATTGTTTTGAAAATACAAAATTTAGTTAATTTCTTTTCTTTTTTTTCATGTCATTATGTATGAGGTCCAAAATTATTAATTTGTGGAAATATTTTGATGAATATAATATATATTTTTTAAATTTATTTTATTTTATTTCTTTATAATTTTGTTGTTGAATTTCTTTTTATTTTGTCTTGTCGGTAAAAATATGTCATGTTGTTAAAAATTGACTTTTAATTGTAATTATTGATCGAAATGGCATTCACATCAATAAAATAAAAATGCTCATGACATCAATTATCATAAAAAAAATTAATGTCAAGCTTATTACCTTAACATAAAATGTATAAAGTAACATAGTCAAACACAAATATAATAATTCAAAAAATTAAAAACAAATAAAACTACAATTAGAGCTTAAAAAATATGATCCATAAATATCTATAATTAAAAAATGTAAAGGTAAAGTACTTCGGCCACTCAAGTTGAAACAATACATATATATATTTTTTTTAACTTAAAAATCACGAATATTCGATACATGTAAAATGACACTCTCTGCACCCAAATCCATAAAAGAGCTATTGTCCTATCTCGTATTCAAATCATTCCTCAAGTTGTACATACGATACATGTCATAGATTATTGACATAGAAATGGAGAAAATATGAAACAAAATTAATTTAAAACAAAATAGTAAATTGAAATAGACATAATTTATCAATAATAATAATAATAATATTAATATTAATAATACAACAACAACAATTTTATTACCAAAACCCTAACAACCGACCTTAAGACTAGTGGGAGTAGACTCTTTATATGTATTAGTAGTAGGGTGTGAAACATTTTACAGATTATGTGTCAAAAATTTAATTTTACCTTGTACTTTTTATTAAATAGTAACTAAAATGCTTTGTTAAAAATAATGGAAAAATTACAAATATAATATTATTGCATGTTTCGCCAAAATTATAATCTCATTTTAGTTTACAATCAAATTTTAATTTCAATGATACATTTACAATCCCTACTCACTTATTATCTACACATTATGGGACCCATTGCTGTTCTTCATTATAATCTCATTATAATTATTCTCAAAAAAAGCAAATAAAATGGTTAAATAGAAAATACCCGTAAATGAAATAACAAAGTATACACTATATGTCTTTTACATAATTTTCAATTTGTTGTTAACCTATAAAAGATAACTTCCTATTAATTTGAAGTTAGAGATAAAGGAAAATGAAGTTATTAAGAGCTTGTTTGGGAGTGATTTTGAGAATTGATTTTTTGACTATTATGAGAAAAGTGGGGTCCACTTGTAAGAGAAAAGGTCAAATATGACAGCTAAAATAATGAAATAACGGTCAAAAAATCAATTTTTTGGGCCAAAAAATCAATTTTTTGGGCCAAAAAATCACTCCCAAACAAGCTGTAAATATTCCAAATTTTTCAATATAATAATAACAATAACAGCAGCAGCAACATATTTAAATATAATAAACATTATGGCTTTAGCAATTAGAATTATGAAAAATGATAAAATAGTTAAATTTGGGGCCCGTTTGGTAGAGATTTTGAGAATTGATTTTTTGACCGTTAGAAGAAAAGTGGGGTCCACATGTGAGAGAAGAAGTCAAAAATTACGGCTTGAATAGTAAAATAACGATCAAAAAATCAATTTTTTGGGGCAAAAAATCCCTACCAAACAGGGCCTTGGTTTTATTGAACAAAAATTGACCTTTTAATCTTCAAAATGATATAATCAATAGGAACTTCACATCAAAATAGATAAATTGAAAACAACCTAGTTTAAAAGATGTTGAATATCGTTTGACAGAACTTTTAAAAAGTCAAAAGTCGCATATAAGATTGAGAAATTACTTTTGAACGTGTTTCTTTTTTTTTTTTCTTTTTTGTGGTTAAAAGAATTTTTAGAAGCTGATTAAAAAACTCTTCCATAAAAAATAAAAGCAAAAATAAAAGTATTATCGAGCGGACCTAAGTCAAAGATTAAGCCATTGTTATTTTGGGAAAAATGTATTTTTGAGTAATGATTATTTAAAAAATGTGTGGTTAAAAAGTAAGAAATTTTTTTAATTTATGTGTAAAATTAATTTATTGAAAATGAAGTTTTTTAAAAAAAATGATGCTTAAATAAGGGCTAAAAATGTGCAATTTTACCTCTTTATGTTTCAACCATCACGAGTCAAGCACGTGACAAACAGACATTAGCCCCCGTTTGGCCCCCATTCTCATTCTTTTTTTCAATTTTATTTTTAACTACACAATCTTCTATAAAATAATATTACACACAAATTAAAAAGTTTTTATTTTTTTCAATCACATATTTTTCAAAAAAAAAATACTATTTCATCTATCAAAATTATCTAAGAATGAGGGCCAAACGGGGTTTATAAACTTGGGCATTAATAATAACGCACATGAAATGCTCAAAAACATCGCTACTTTTTCAGCGTTTTATGCTTTGCCAAATTTCTCCGCCTTTCATCGGTTCCGGTTCAAGAAAATGTTACAGTTACACACAATCTCGTCTTCAATTCACTCGTCTTCCCACACATCACTTGCCAATGAGACTTGGCCCACTTTACGCCGTCCATTTCTTTTTCCGGCATTCCCAAGGCGGCATCTCCGGCTGCCGTGTCAAGGGTCGAGCTTTACTCCAGTCAGAAGCTGCAATGCTTTTGCATTTGATTTCAAGGGCGGAAAAGGGTAGTTGTGGATATTTGATTTTGGCTTGATTTCAATTTATGAAGTGGGAATTGTATCATGGGTTTTTTTATTTGGATATTTTTTGAGTTTCATAGTTGATTGCTCCGAGTTGTCGTATCATTTTCCTTAATTGGATCAGCTTTAATCTTTCCTTCTTAATTGCTTTTTTTGAATTTGTGTTAAACTATTTTGCAAATATCTTAGAATTGTACTATTTTACATTTTCCCTGTTTGTCAGGATGGGCGGATTCCACGAAGTTGAACTTAAGGTCCGGGACTATGAATTTGATCAATATGGTGTTGTAAATACTGCTGTCCATGCAAGTTATTGCCAACATGGTGAGAACTGCTTAAATAAACATCTTTACACGATTAAAATATATTTATCTGTAAAATGTTACCACAGATTTTATATGTTGGCAATAGATAATCAGCATCATCTGTCTCTGCTTGCACTAAGAACTACTTCAATCCCAATCATTAACATCTAAAAAAAAGAAACTTTTAGATTTTGTCAATACTAAATGTTAGTACTCCTCTCTGTGTAATGCTGTTACTCATATTGTATGTATGTTTCAAAAAAATTATAACAGAATATACAGAAATATTTCGGTTTTCGCACAGAAGTTGATAGGCAAAAATGTAAGTGTGCTTTATGATTAATGCTGAAAGTACCAGATGATGTGAAGTTCATACATTGATTCATATAATTTGATTGAATTTCCTGCATGCCAACCGTGGTTGGGCTTTTGGAAAGTCCAGCCAAGGAAATGCCTGAGTTGGTGGAACCACTCTATCTAATGCCAATTGGCCTCTGAATTACATGTTTTGACCCCAAAAAATGGTTGAATATATCCTGTTTATTAGAAAACAAGTGTTGATTTAAACTTCGACAATTTGGTGCGATGATTGAATTGGCTTGGCTGCAATAGGCTTCACCATTTTGCATAATTCAATCTTCACAGTGGAATTTTTGTGCTGTCATTGAGGGAATTCAACTTAGTCGTATAAAAAGCTTGAAATATTCTAAGATAATTCTAGCTGATACGAGTTAGAAAGTGTCAGAAAAGTAAGTCTTCTTGCAGAAGGTTTCCAAAATGACCTACAAGATCCAAGTACTAGTTGTGCCTTATCGTGATTTATTCCCTTAAAAATAGCCATATTTGTTTGATGGGAAAGTGGGAGAGTTAGATAAACCAATTTCATTAATTTAAAAAGCTGAGTTATGAATTTGTATGGAATAAAAAGAATTACCCTGTTTAGGACATGACTACATGGCCATAAATATTTCTATAGTAGTTTTTTTCTTTCAGAAGAACTCCCTAGTGCCTACATTCAGTTGTTGGGACAATTAGTTACTATAGAGAACGCGGCGAACTGATGCTCATGCTCATCATTTTCTCCTATTGATGGACATCTGTTGCTCGAGTCAATGTGTGTAGAAGAAAATTGTGAAAATTGTTATATAGGTTTCTTATGGTCAAAACACGGATAAGGCCAAGTAATGTGCTTCCCAAGTGATGATGGATCAAGACTTGATGGATAATTTAGGTTGTCTTCAGGTTGGGCTTTAATGGAAAGACAAATCTAAGTTCAGTTAAAATATGACCCTCTCAAGACTCGAGATATAAGAGGAGCTGGTACTTACAGAGTTTTAAGAGGTTTGTGAGTGACACAAATGGCTTACAACCAGGGGATGGTAGGATTTGTCATTGGAGTCAAATGATTTGCTTCACAATCATAAATTTTATAACATTTTGATTAAAATAAATACATTTAAATTATCGTTTTCTTCTTTCAGGTAGGATTGACTTCTTATTTAATATTTCAACAGGACGTCATGAACTTCTTGAAAGAATTGGTGTAAATGCTGATGCAATTGCCCGTACTGGTAATGCATTAGCACTGTCAGAATTGTCACTAAAATTTCTTGCACCTTTAAGGGTATGCCGTTTAAGATTCAAGCATCGCACTTTTTCTCAGGCTATGGACTAGTTCTTGTTTCTTATATGTTTCCGAATTTCAAGTCACAGATCACTGAAAATATAGAGTATAAGGGTGCTAATAACTTCAACTTGCTTGCATAGAAAATGTTTTTAATGATTTGATCAAATGCACTTTTATATTCCATCAAATTGAAGAAAAGAATTTTGCATATCTTGGTATTTAACATAGTGAAGTACAAGATATGACTATTCTTTACATTGTTTGTTATTTATCGTCCATATTTTTCATTTCTCATTATAAGATTTTGCTGCACTTCTCATAATTTTACTGTGTTATAGAGCGGAGACAGGTTTCTCGTGAAGGTGAGGGTATCTAACTCTTCTGCTGCTCGGTTATTCTTTGAACACTTTATCGTCAAGCTACCTAATCAAGAGGTCTCATACATTCTTTCTGTTATCTCGTAGTGTAATTCAATAGTAACGAAAAAAAACTACTAAGGAAGAATTGTAAAGGGCAATTGCTAATACTCTCAAACTGTGTTTGTGTGTCTACAGCCAATTTTGGAGGCAA